ATAAAGGGCGCTCATATTATAAGGTAAGGTTATAAAACCACCTTTTAAGATCATTTTAGTGAAAGTTTCATGTTCCTATCTCATAGAATTTAAGAACAATGATGAATAAATCATTTTCGAGCAAAATTTAAATGGCCGGCTGAATATATTACCGCCGGAGACGCGGCCGCGGAATTTAAATGACCGCGCCAAAGGGTTAATTACATGCATTGTATATTCCACTTCAATACAATTGCATGTATATTTTACAATGGGTTGCCAATGCCAATTCTTCACTATTGCTTTCTACACCTTTTACATATTCTCTGTATCTAATGTTTAGTTACTTTCTGTCTGACAGAAAACAACAAAAAAATCTGTAATGACAACCAATCACCTGACAGCAGGTACAGAGTCAACTCCAACGGTGTCAGGTATATTAAATTTACTTCAAACAAAGGGCAACTGGGAACACGTGTCTATGTCACACATTGTCACAAACCTTCAGAGAATCATTAGTTATCCTGTTACAAATCCTCAACACAATGATACTTCTGTGTTATTACATGGATACAGAAAACAAATGATAAACTTCAGCATTTATAGATCCTGGGAACTCTTAAGGTGTAGTACCTAAGAACTGCTCAGTCGATTGGACAGACATGGAAAATGTGAAGGATTTTTCTTGTATAGAATTTACCGGAAGAATTCAGTTTACACAGTATTTCATTTCATGTATATTAGATCTGCTCAAAAGAAAATGGGAGCGGTACATCACAAGCAACATTCTACAAACTCCAGTTGTGTAGAGACATTTCAGGAAAAAGAAACCTTCAGAATCTAGTCAACAGCGCAGTGGAGTTGTTTCATGTTCACAGAGATGGATATCAGAAAGACAAGCAGCATTTCTGCACATCTGTGTCATCTGCCTAACAGTGCACATACAGCTCACCTCAGGTTCAGCCTTCATTTCTGGAAATGTTATCAGGACAGGATCCTCTTCCTCTTCTGCATCTGAGACTGCCTCAGCTTTTACATTCATGGCCTGATTGGCATCATGAGGTGTTGGGTATGTCTCACCATATGGACCCACTAAAGCGTTCTCCGAATTTGTACAGTTCTGTAAAACCATCACATCCTTCTCAGAAATGGTTGCACAACACCCTACATTAACCAGCATATGCTCTCCTTGCTATGGCTTGCTATCTAACTCATAAGAGCTGTTTCGTACAGATGTTCTTCTCTACAGCTATCATGAGCACTAGAAAGTACTCAGTTCATAGCACAGTGACCTTCCCGAGGAACTACTGGTCACTGTGGCAGTACAGAAAATATCTGCTTTTTTGGTAACTAGAAACATCATAATGAGGAGCTCCACAACTTGTAACCTTCATTCACCAAGCATAATTATATGATCAAGTCAAGGAGGATGAGATGGGCAGCTCACATAGCAGGCATAGGGGAGAGGAGGAATGCATATAGGATATGATGAGAAAGCCAGAAAGGGTTCATTACTGTGCTCATCATGGCTCTGTATCCTAAGGCAAACAGACCCAGTACAAACCCTTCCAAATTACTTCTTTAAAATCTATCTTAACAGCATCTCTCCACCTGCACTTAGGTCTCCCAAATGGTCTGCTTCTCTGAGGTTTCCTGTGCAAAACTTTGTATGCATTTCTCACTGTTGCATGTGCACTACATGACTTACTTACATCACTCTCCTTGAACTCATTGCTCTCCTACATAATATCCCAAACCGTTATCACCCAATTGTAAGGAACACCCCACATGGATTATGCAAACAGAAGCGTGTCATAAAATATTTAGTTTCTTTGGCCAACAGACTTGAAATACCACAATAAAATTCCTGTCTGTGCACACAAGCACGAAACACAATACTTTCTCTCACAGCAGGAAACTTTTCTTCAGCTCTCTGCAGTACAATTCTTGCCACTTTTGTTTCAGGAGAATGCAGAACCTTTTGTAACCTTGAAACCTGTTCATCACATAATAAATATCTCATGCGGTTCAAAGGAATTAGCTCACAAGTATCCTAGTAACTTAAAATCTTGGTTCTGATAAGTGTAAGTAAGTAACTAAGTAAAGCTACCCTGTTAACAGGCCGTGGAGGCCCATAGGGTTGTGAGATGTTGAGGTTCCCACATTTTCTAGACAGTTGGCTCATAGATGGTGGCAAGGTTGTCAACCTTATGCGCCGGCATCTCTTTACCCCCAAGAATATTCCTGGTACTCATTTCTGTTAGAGGCTGAGTCAACCCCAGGGCCATGGTGCAGATTGAACGGTTCGGTCAATCGAAAAAATCCAATCACCTCATCAGGACTTGAACCTGTGACCTTCCAGCTTGTAGCATAGTGCCTCAAGGTTCTAATAAGTGTACCAGTAACTAACTAATTGTGAACAGTTCTGTGACTACCCAAGGAATTTTGCTGCCATAGAATTTCTCTCAAATACAGTTCTGTTTATGCAAAATTTAATTTCATCTGCATCAGGACTGTTTAAAATGAAATGGAAGTGGTAAATCACAAGCAGCATACGTTCAACGAACTTTAACTGTCTAGAGACACTTCCGTAANGTGGGAATTTGTTTATAAATGAAGTTTCTGTGATAAAATTTTTGGGTCTGCAGATTGATAAGAATTTAGACTGGAAGAGTCATGTAGAGTATATTCTCCCTAAACTTAGTTCAGCTATTTTTGTAATTAGGAGTTTATCTTATTTTATGAGTAAAAAAATTTTACGAATGGTGTAGTTTTCTTATTTCCACTCTATTCTAAAGTATGGAATAATTTTTTTGGGGCAACTCAATGAATAATGTTAGAGTTTTTAAATTACAAAAAAAAGTAATAAGGATTATATGTGGAGTGGGACCTAGAGACTCTTGTAGGGATCTTTTTAAGGAATTGAATATACTGCCATTGTCATGTGAATACATTATCTCGTTGATGATGTTTGTGATTGATAATCAAACTAAATTTTGTTCAGGTTTAGATGTTCATGGTTTGAATACAAGAAATCGAAAGCAATTATATTTGCCAAACTCGAATCTTTCTGCTTTTCATAAAGGTACTATGTT